CTCCTTCCAGCGCGTAGAGCTCGTAAGAGCTCACAATGTAATGCGTTATGGCTCGATCATCGATCATTTTTCGTCAAGTTTTCTCAGCAAAGCTGGATTCATCGACAGCTTGGTATGCTCTAACTACTGAGAACTGTATTGGCTCTCCAAGAAAGGCATCCTTATCGAGTTTCTTTCGAGTATTTCCCAATGAAATATCGAAAATTAAGCTCTGTGATCTGGTCACTCGTGATGGAAGCACGGTACAATCTTGCTGGTTCTTCCATGAGAATGCCAACAAAGTCAGAGTCGACGAAGTTTACGTCGCTACTGCATTTGGCATTATCGGAAATCTTTTTAATCGAAGGCAGATAACCGAAGTAAATACGATCCTCCATCCAAAAATCCAGGCAGCGATACGATCTATCGATCTTGAGGACTCGATTCTCCCGCCAGAAGTTGTCCCGCCAAAAGTTATCCCGCCAAACGTTATCCCGCCAAAAGTTATCCCTCCAAGTTCAAAATATACCTCGTCTAGCCTGTCATATGCAGAACAGCACAGTCTTCCCTTTTTCAATGAATCTTTCGAAGAGGTAGAAAACTCAGAGGTGACAGGACGTGTGAAACGAAGGAAAACTCGAGCAAAGTCAAACTTCATTATGAAGAAGGTTTCTGATCTCTGCTCGAGTCAGAAGGAATCCCTGGCGTCAGTGCTGGCTAGATGCTGCACTGACGATCCCCAGTCAAGGCCGTCCTTTGCAAGAGAAACCATTTGCCAGGTAATGGACGAGGTTGCTGAGAAAAAGGGAGTAAAAAGAGCATTCGAAGAGCTCATCTCGGACGACCTCTGGGACCAGCGAGTTGCCGAGATGAGAATGCCAGATTGGCAGTTATTGTTTTTAAAAGTCCAGGCGAAAATTTCAGATGCAAACTGGCAATCTATAATCAATTTTACGAAATTGGGAAGGAAAGTAAGTACTGATGCCTTATGATCATGTGGATTTTTGATGTGTTATTTATTTTGTGATCATAATATTGTGTTCTTCCCACCCCTAAACTGTTAGGTTTCGATATGAATCTATAAGGTCACATTTTGCCCATGGCTTAATGAATTATTATGTTTGGTTTTAGGGAAGCTCCAATATATGCATTCTTCCGATCAAGAATCATATGAAGGCCTTACGTTCTTCGATATTTGGTGTCGCTAAACAGATAATGTTAATTCGAGAAGTACCAGATTCTCTTCCTGGGTATCAAGTCAGCCTTGAACAGGCTATTGTGTGGAGTGCTAGGGAGCAGAGACTCCATGGTACCCAAAGTGAAGTTCTGGAATTCCACCTGAAATTAGATGGACGTCCACTTTTTGGTAATTGAGTATCATTATTAGCTTTGAAAGTTTATATTAAATTATATCTTGTATTATTTTGCTTCGAATTTTGTTTTTGGTTTAATTTGTCCAATTGCTTTACTTTGTTTTTATTTACTTTGTGTTGTCTTTTTACCCTTTTTTTTGCTTTTGCCTATTTCCAAACTTTCCCCTCTTAAATGCTTTTTTTAACCAATTTACTGCTAACCTTTGTTAAAATAAACTTGTTTTGAATTTTTTATTGTATCTAAATTGCATATAGGTAAAGATCAAGTAAGTGTTGGCATTGTACCTGGCAACCATCCTTACCTTTCTTCTCAAAGTGCCCTGACAGTCCGCCCATTAGCCATAGCCAATATTGAAGAAAGCAGGTACGATATTATTAATATGGACTTTTAATTTAATATTGAAGGAGTGTACTCAAAGTCATTACTGCTTTCTCATTATTAGGAAAGAAATTAAAGTCCTGGTAAGAGACATTAACAGGCAAAAAGATGTGATCAAGAGAAATGGCATTGTTGTTGATGGGAAACTTTTGCAAGTTAAATTTAAAGGTAAATTTTTTGTTAATYATTATTATTCGTGCTTTTGATATAAATTTATTTCGTGTTAATTTGATTCCTAAAAGACAACAACAGAAACCCTATACCGACGCTGTGTTTTGCTAGAATCATGTGCCTACAAATTCAGTCTTTTAGTAATTTGAAAATTGGCTTTGAACTCATAATCATTAAAAGAATGTGTTAAAATCTTTAAGTAGTCTGATTTGTAAAAGCAAGGGCCATGTACAATGTGTCTTTGTATGTGATTAAGTGATTCTTATAATACTTATAGTACATGTTTCCTTA